TGATAAGGAGGTAGTCCTTCACCTCACCAAGGCACACCATTCTACACATACCTTTCATCTCGTTTCTTTCCATTTTCTGTAGCAGATCACCCATGGTATAATTCCCACTCCCTCTCTCTCCTCTCCTTCTTGACCCCTCTCTCTCTCAAATTTTCAATTTCTCCCCCATCTACTTGTTCCTTCTCTGCTTCCTACCTACATATCCAAGTATCGACTACCCTTAAAAAATTTTCACTATATCATATTCCCATGAGTTTATATTCCACGTTTTGTCTCCCTTTCTCAAACTCCTTAATAAAGCTTTTGGTATTTCTATTTGAGGCGGCTAGGTGGCGCAGTGCATAGAGTGCTGGGCCTGGAGTCAGGAAGACTCTTCTCTCTGAATTTAAATCTGGCCTCAGATACTTACTAGCTGTGTGACCCTGGGCAAATCACTTAACCCCATTTGCCTCTATAAAATAAGCTCGAGAAGGAAATGATAAACTACTCTAGTATCTTTGCCAAGAAAACCCCGAAACAGCATCATGAAGTCAGACATGACTGAAACGACTGAACGACAAAAAATTTCTACTTTGTCGGTTCTCATTCTCTCATAAACATTTTATGATCTGGCTTCTAACTTCATTACTCAACTGACCTCATTTTTCTTGGTCCCACTCTCCTTTTCTCTCTACACTCTCTCCCTTCAGTTCAATTATATCTTTTTTTTTTCCTTTTTTGCTTTTTGGTGAGGCAGTCAGGGTTAAGTGACTTGCCCAGGGTCACACAACTAGTAAGTGTCAAGTATCTATGGCCAGATTTGAACTCACGTCCTCCTGACTCAAAGGCCAGAGCTCTATCCACTGTGCAACCTAGCTGCCCCTTCAATTACATCTTTTTACAAATGACTCCCAGATCTATATATATCATCAGTAGTTTCTTTCCTGACATCCAGACCAACATCACCAGCTACTTATTGGACATTTCAAAATGGATATCCCATAAGCACTTCAAATTTAGCATAACCCAAGCAGTCATCTCTCATATACATCCACTTTACTTGACTCACGCTAACTACCACCCTAGTTAAGGATTTCTTCACCTCTCACCTGGGCTTTTGCAAGTCTCTTAATTGGTTTCCCTGCCTTGTTTTTCCACACTCTAATCCAACCTCCACTGAGTTACCAAAGTGATTTTTATAAAGCACAGATCTGACCCTGTCACCTCCTCCTCGATTCAAAATAATTGTCATAGCTCCCTATTGCCTGTAGGAGAAAAATTCAAACTTCTCCATTTAACATTCATGCTACCTTTTGAGAATCCTTAAATATTACCCCTCTCCACAAACTCTGCAGTCTAGTCAAAATAATCTACTTGTTGTTCCTCATACATGACACTCCATCTCCCAACTCCATCCTTTGTCCTAACTGCTTCCATGCCTGCAATACTTTCCTTCCTCATCTCTACTTTTTAGACTCCTTGGCTTTCTCCAAGTCTCAAGTTATGCCTCCTGAGGAGATGGTCTCCTCAGTCCCTAGCACATTCTTTCCCAATGTTATCTCATGTCTACTTTGTGTCATTTATATTGACATATGTACATGCCTTCCCTGGTAGAATATAAGCTCCTTGAGGGCAACATTATTTTGTATTTTTCTTTATATCCCCTAGACTTTATGCAGTGCCTAGTATGTAATAGGTGCTTAATAAAATGTTGATTGATTACTTGACATTAATTTAAATATTGAATATTAATAGTCTATAATTCATGATTATACTGAAACTATATTACTTTTATAAATTGTGTGTCATTTAATTTTATATTTTAAAAAATATAGCTCACAACTCAAAATCCTGAGTGTGAGTCTCATTACACAACATTATCTTTCACGTAGAAATTTAACAAATGTTTTAATTGAATCAAATGTTTAATTGCTTTATTTCCTCTATTTCAATATGTCTTAATTTACAACAAATCAATGAATATACTTTTTATGGAGGTAGTATGGTGTAATATAAAAACAATGGAATTAGAGACAGTAAAGCTAAAATCCTGGCCTTATTACTTATTAACTGTGTGACCTTGGATAACTCATCTCTCTAAGCCTCAGCTTCCTCCCTGTTAAAGGGGTAAAAGAGTACTTATAATTATCAAATGAAATGAAGTATCTGAAGTACTTCATATCAATATATTATTAATAATAATAATGCCATTCATATAATACTTTAAAATTTGCAAAATAAATAATATCTAATTTTATCCTCACAACAACCTTGGGAGGTTGGTGATATTATTGGCCCCATTTTCCTTTTTTTGGGCTAGGCAATGGGGTTAAGTGACTTGCCCAGGATCACACAGCTAGTAAGTGTTACGTGTCTGAGACCAGATTTGAACTCAGGTCCTCCTGAATTCAGGGCCGGTGCTCTATCCACTACACCACCTAGCTGCCCCTCCCATTTTCCAGATAAGGAAATCGAGTCAGGCAGAGGTTAAGTGCCTTACCCAGGGTCACACAGCTAGTAAGTGTCTGAGGCCAAATTTGAACTCAAGTTTTCCTGACTCCAAGTCTAGCACTCTATCCACTGTGCCACTTAGCTTCTAACCACAAAGCATTCTATATAGATCTGAAAAATAATCTACTACAGTGATTTTTGCTTTAAAATCCATGTTTATTTGCCAATTACACTTAGAGGGGTTACATTGAGAATATAACCTTGCATCTCTACTTCTGTTTATATGTTGTATTCAATCAAGGTGGTAACAGAAATAAAAGTGGCTGAGGATTGTATCTAATCCATAAGTTATCATCAGCAGTCAGAATCACCAAAAGCTGCACAAGAACTACAGGAAACAGAACCAAAACATATGTAACTGCAAAAGTAAGAAAACGAGATTATAGTGGTGAGATTTCAACAACCAACCTAAAATGAAGTTCCTTCTCAGTGCCTTCAATATTTTTCAAATTTTGAGCTTTACAGGACTTTTTTTGAAATTGAAAAAAAAAAATTGGTGACGCAGCAATGTGTATTGTGGACTAATTAAGCCAGGCTCATGATCATGAATAGGAACATGTAAAGAGAGTATCTGGCAACCAAGGGTATTCTAATAACAGTTTGTATAGATAGCAGGTATTGGGTACTACAACTGTGCAGTACAACTCTGGGCTTTCCAGTGTGGAAGTGCCTTTCTATAGCATAAGAAATGAATAGCACTCGTGGACATCTAATAGACTGACCTCATGAAAATGCCCTCCAGGCAGGTATTAGGGAAACCAGTGCTTCACTTTTGTCTATCCTGAACCGAGTAGTACTAGATGAAGAGCGACATCTTGTGGTTATTTCAGTCAGTGAAAAAGTTGCTTTACAACTTGTATCAAGTGACATCCCAGATAGGGGGGTACATGGCATCACCTTTGCACGTGAAGGACTAAAAGTTTTTCATAAAACTTTATTGGTCTTGTCTTTGCTGTACTAATAATAAAAACTAGAAGACTAGCCTGTACCAAACTAATGCTCCGTGTCCTAGCCAAGGAATTTTTTTCAGTGAAAGTTTCCGCCTGACTTTTGTAAAAATTTTGTTTTGCCATTCTGAAGTTCCTACTTTTAACATGACAGTGACCTGAATAGCCAGGAAATACCATAAACAACTTACTAATGCCTACAATGATGGGTTACAATATAAATACATGCAGTGAGATTTTCCAGAGGCAAATCAGTGCAGATGCACCACAGCATAATATATTTCGATACAAAGCACAAACATAATCAAAGCTGCCAGCATATTAATATTGTTGGATTAAGTTTACTCTGGAGACGTTATTCAGTTTTCCTAAGTGGAGTGCATCCAGTTCATCAAAATCTCCACAACTATTGGATCATGCCATGGAATTACAGAAATGTGTTGTTGTTTTTTTACCATTGACAACAAGTTATTGTTTTTTAGGTATAACTGTTTCCTATTAATAAAAAGGAAGAGAGAAGAATGAGGGCATTCTTTGGTCATTTCTATCTACACAGTCAGCCTGAGGCTGACATGGGGAAAGTTTTTCACAGAAACTTTGGAGCCAGAAAGGACCATAAAGATCATCTAGTCTCATCCCTTGTTTTTAAAGATGAGATAACTGGGGTTCAGAGAGTTTAAAAGATTTTCCTAAGTTAATGGTAAAGCAAAGACAAAAACTGAAGCCTTCTAAGTCCGTGCGCCTTTCTGAATATTGAAGCTTACTGCAGTTCAGGTTTTCTTGAATTTATTCATGGTACCCCACACAAGAAAATCCAAGAAACTTCCCTAAGCCTCTCTTAGGTTCAAGTTTGGAAAATAAGAATACTTTGCTTCATCACTAATGGCAATATAAACCTTAAACAGACATGTTCCACTGTTTTTCTAGGCAAGAAGAATATATTCTGTTTGGTAATCTTAGCCAAATTTCCAACTGGAAAAGCAATTGACATTATTAAAGATTCAAATGTATTTTTTAAAAAACCAACCAGATTTAAATGTAATGGTGTAGAGGTAAATTTCAGACTTTTCTCCAAACCACTACCTTCAAGAAATCCTTTCATCCTTCCTATGAGAGGCCCAAGAGCTCCAGTGAAACATCTCAGTAAATGTATTATTTAGCAAGGAGACAAGCAACTTATGGCCCCAGTGGACTAATATGAGAATAAACTGCTTGACCCAACATTCCACATGATGGCATTTGTATCTTTTCTTCTCTTTTCCTTTTATTTCCTCTTCTTTTTTCCCTCTTGTCCTATTTCTGCCTTAGGGCTACCAATGACACAAAAAGGTACAAATAAGTGTTCAGTTAGCATGCCTGATGACCCTCCAAGCTAAGGAGATGGATGCCCAGGAGCACTGGAGTGAATTTGTAGTTTGTATGGATAATGTTCATTGATGTCATGTGATATTGCAAGAACCAATGAGATCAGGTTCAGAAAGCACTTTGAGATGCTCAGATAAAGAAATTCATGCAAGCACAGATTACTATTATTGGCTGCTTACAATAATTAACACCATAAATAATTCAGCAGCACATCTTTTTATTTAAGTAGCAAGGGGAAATTGCAATCTTGAAACAATGGTCTAACTACATAAGATATCTTTTATATAAATTCACCTTGCCTATTTTTTAAAAGATGTTTTAATTCAAACAAGTACTCAAAATTTACCAAAGCACAAAAAAAAAAAAAAGAATCCTATAGCTTGCCCTCAACTTATAAGCTAGCCAGAGAGTAAAGGAAATTAAATCAGCACGTCTTCCTGCTCATTGAGGATAATGCTTTACCAGCCCTAGGAGCGAGGCAAGTGTCAATTGGAAAGGCCACATCGTTTGCCATAGCCAACACAGCACAAGCCTAGAAATAATTTTGTCTTGCTCTCAGTGCTAAAAACACATTGCCAAATCTTTTTCTGAAAAGCACAAAAGCAAAATAGCCCATTCCTGCAAGCAGACCAACCACAAAGGTGGTGCCAAGAACTTTTGGGGCCCTTTTCTTGGCCACCCGGAATGCTGTTGGCAGCACTGCCGAGATTAATATATTGTTGACATGTCCTAAAACCTTGTTAAATGTTTTTCTCTTCAAGACACGCTCGTAATAGGTTTCCAAGTTTGGTCGCTTTCCGTTTCCCCAGTTTCTCCTTGCAAAACCCAGGAACTTCAGTCGATGCAATGTGACAGCAAGCGATACATCTGCCAATGTGAAAGATTCACCACAGAGCCAAGGCTGGCAGCCCTCCTCTAATCAGAGAAAAAGACATGGAGAATTAGGTGCAAATACTATACAGGGAGAACCCAAAGGAGATGTGCTGCCTGACTACATTATCCCCTCATCTTTAAGAGTGACTGCAAAGATATCAACATTTAAAAGTGCTGTATTACTCCTATTGAAACACTCATGGCCAAGTTATTTGATGCTTAAAAAAAATAAAAGCAAAAGCTAATTTATTCTAAGCTAAAGGGATTTTTGAGGAACAGCTGTTAGCTGCCCAGGTCTCTGGGTGAAAGCTGAAGCCCCCTGGTGCTTAAAACCTGCCTGATGCTTCATAAGGGACCCCAAGTGGCTCAAGGCCTCCAAGAAGCAGCGTGATCGCCAGACACTCCCTGCTCATTTCAGTAAACAACAGGTGTGCTTGAGGTAACAAGATCAGGGTCAGCCTGCAACTGTCAATGGCATTGCCATTAATTTTTTTTTTTCAAAGCAGGGACACTCTGTCACCTTGTGCAAGGAAAGTTTCAAGCGACAGAACTATCATCTAGAGACCCCAGCATGCTGCACAGGTGGGACTAACATATATGGGCACATGGGAATTGTTTTATTCATAAAGCTCAGCCCGCATATGTTCACAACTAGTCCAAACTTTAGATTCTCTATATCATGCATCTGAGAGACAGCTCGAGCTGTGGAGAACAGATCAGCCTAAGCAGCAGAAAACTCTGGATTCCAGTATTGCCTTTGAACACAGTAGCTTTGTGACCATGGGCCAGACTCTAGTCAACTCTAAGACTGGGATCTAGAAACTAGGTCCTGAGGGTCAGATCTGGCCCACCCCCTATTTTTGTACTGCCTAAGCTAAGAATGGGATTTTTATAACATTTTTAAAGCAATAAAACTTTATTTTAGAAATTTATTTTAAAAACCATTCTTAGCTTGCTACCCATACAAAAAACAGGCTGCATGTCCTACTCTAAGACTAAAAATTACAGAATAGTTACTTATATGCATTGATAGAAGAGATTTCCACACTGGAAGTCCCCCACATTGATGAAATCACAGGTCCAGATGCCTTCCTTTGTCCCCAAAAAGATATGCATGCTTCCTGATTCATATGGTTTTCTCACCTGTACTTTTGGGGGCAGAAGCCATGCCTGAACAGGCAAAATGAAAAACAGTATTTAGACAAAGACCCAGATTAATGCCCAGGAGTGAAAGGGAACTGTGGAATCTGAATGCTATTGTCTTCTATCACTTTCACTAAAAAACCATTCCATTCTCTCATATACCACATGAGTGACCACTAAGCATCTGATTTTGCTGAGTTCATTTGAGTTATCACGATCATAATTAAAATATGAACAGAAAGCATGGATAAAATGTTTGAAATGATATCTTTCAAGGTGAGCATGATAGCAATGGTAGGAGGGGACAGGAGAGACACCTAAATCAGCACTTACCTGGGGTTTCTTCATTTCTCCTTTGCAATTCAGTTTCAACTTGATCCAAAACTTTCTCAAGCTCATCAAGTATTTTCTTCAAATATTTTACATTGTCATGGTCCAGTAGCTTTGACTAAGCAAACAAATTTTAAAAAAAGCCACACTGAACACATTCAATTTCTGTGAGGGACTTACACAGTGCAAAGTCTACATCTTATGAATCCATGTGTTATTCTAGAAGGCAGCAAAAGGGAACAGGATAATTTAAAGTGAAAAACTCCGTTAAGAGAAAACTTCAGCTTAGAAAAGGTGCTCATAAGTAACTTCCTTTTCTCAGAAGCATTTCCAAGCAGACTCAAATGACTACAGCAAGGAAAGAATGGGGACTAGCCAGTAGAGAGAGGCATCAGAAAGTCCATTATATTCACTCTAAAGGACAATCTACATAGGAATAAAAACCTCTTTAGGCCTACATGGACTAAGGAGGGCAGGGAGAGTATATAATTAATGATGGTTCACTGATTCAATTTAGCAAACATTTATTGAATGTTTAGTACTTGTAAGGTATTGTACTAGGTACTACGGGGACACAAAAATGAAAAATGGAAGTCCTTACCCTCAAAGTTCTTATAATTTAATAGAGGAAAGATGACACAGGAACAAAATTGGGATGCTATAAAATAGAAAGTGATGAAAGCAAAGGAGAAATTTCCCCCAAAAAAAATGCTCAGAAAAAAACATATAAAGGACAGATCATTTTCACTTGGTAAAAAATAGTGATTTTTTTTTGGAGGGAGGGGGCAGGTGTTAGGGAAAACAGGGCACCACAGCCAGGCACAGGACTTAGGCAGACGATAAGAGACTGTTGTGATGGTGGTGAAAATATTTTCCCAATAAAGTAGGATTGCAAAGGAGAAAGGAAAACAAAAAGGCTAGGAGATAAAGCAATGGAGAAGGTATTGGGGGGAGTTGTTCAACAGTCTATCTGATGAGATCTAGGGGTTGACTTTTGTTGAGCTGGAGTATTTTCTGCAGAGCTGTACATGCACACTTGGCCTTTTGCTGAGGGAGAACACCTTGCTGGGAGGACACAGTGAATTCCTCTGGTCCCCAATGACTGGAACTGCCTCCGGATGATTACTGACAGATTGGGAGTGGGGAGTGGCGTGAAAGACTCTTCTTGGAAGACTCCCAAGGAAGGAAAGAAAGCTAGGAATAACCCTGGGTGACTTACTTTAAGACGTTTCTGCTTTGCTATGTATGCATCCTGAAGGTCTGGATTTTCTTGAGCAAGTTTCTTCAGTTCAGACTCAGTATTACCTATTTGGCCTGATGTTGGGAGCATTTTCCAAAAACAAAACAAAAACAAAGTTTTTTCTCAGATCACAACATGGCACAGCATGGTGTACCTACAAAGGTTTCAATCAAATAAAAGTAAATTTGTTCAATCCAGTGAAACTGATAGCTTGCTTTTAAATCCTTTTCCCATTAAGTGATTTATAAATACAATCATTCAGAAATAAGAAAGGTATAAAAAAGAGTAGAGAACGGTTTGTTTTTTTAAAGCCCTTAGACTACCTCAGACTACCTCAGACTCTACTGACAGGAACAATGAATAAAAGGAAGCCTTGGGACAACTAAATCAGTACAATTCCACAATATTTCCCCTTCTCCCTAGGCCCTCTCTCCAGGGAGCTATTCCACCCCTAGATAGAAATTCTTTCCTGACTTCATGCCCCAATGAGAAGTAGGGAAATAAAGGACTCTGAAAATTACTGTAAAAATGATTAGAATACACCTACTCCTGGCTGTAAGCCATAAAATCAGTATTTTAGAGTAGCAATAAAGTAATTCTAGAATTATCATCATCATAACTGCATGTCCACAAACATGTGAGGCAAGTAATATCAAGGCTCTGTAAACACATAGACTTAATTGTGAAGGAATAGGCAGAAAGGGGGATAATGGATAATTTCATTATACTGTGTGATATCCAGGAAATGATCTACCAATACTCAGCCAATTGTATGGCCAAGTCTTATGGGACTCTTAAGTTTTGTCTGGACATCAATAATCTCTCGGGAGGGATAGAGACTGAACCTGTCATTTTATTGGTATAGAGAACACCTAGGTGAGAAAACTCCCTCTACCAGTTTTATAATCTTAGAGAATTGCCTGGGGCACTGAGAGATTAAATAATTGCCCACGATCTGATCTATGTATCAGAGGCAGGATTTGAGCCCAGGTCTCCTTGGCTTTAAGGCCACCCCTCTAGTCACTACACCCCATTGCTTCTCAAAACATGAGCAAAACTTTGTATAATCTTATTATGCCCAAGTAAAGCAACATCTCTTTAAAATCTTGAAGATACAGAATCAAAGGATGAGGTGAAGCAGCAAATAAGGGGAGAAACAGTATAGGGAAGACTAGAGCAAGAAGTTAGGAAGATTAATGAATCTAAAGAACCATTCATGAAATTAACAGACATATTCAAAGGAGAACCACTGAGGCTTAGCATTCTCCTCTAGAGCATTTGGGAAAAAAGAAATATCAATAAATAATAGATTATTATAAAAAAAATTACACAGGCAAATAAAAATAGCCTTTTGTTTTCCTACATAGAGGGAACAAGGTTTTCATTAATTTCTTTAGGTTAGTATTGCCTAGTTGCCTAATATTGCCTAGGCCTTTGTTGTAAAATCAAGCTCTATTGAAATATAACAGAATAAGTCAGGTATTCATTCCTCATAGGTCACTATACTTGAGACCATGAGGAGATTTCAGAATGTTCCTGAATCCTATAACTAGTCAGTGGGAGGGGCGGGGAGGGAAAACAGAACAAAAACTCAGCTCATCACATTACTAGTCCAATCTTTTTTCCACTATATCAATGAACCTTACCACAAAGGAGTCCTATTTTGTGATGTATGTAGCCTTCCCCAAAATAAAAGTGGGGAAATGCGCTAATTAAAAAACAAACATTTACTTAATATAAGGCACGGATTAATAAACTTGAAGCATCTATTTTCTATAATAATCTTGGGGGTGTATGTGAAACAAATTGAAAAGCCCTACCCATGACCATAAGAAATAATAGAAATCAGACAAATGAGTTATAAAAGGAATGTGAGACAAATCCGGGTTCCTGAATCCTTTACATACTTCGAATCCTTGTTGTGGCGTAAGCAGGGATCATGGAGTCCACTGTTAGTTCTGGGTGTAAGATGCAACCATGTGTATAGGCATCCATGGGCAAGGAGTCAAGGAGTTCTCTGTAGTGCTGGACTCGTGGGTAATACATGCTTTCTTTTTCAGGTATTAACCTGGGTGTCTTTTCTAAGATATTCATGCATAAAGAAAAAAAATTAAAGTTAGGTAGCATGGCAAAAAGAAACACATTATGATAAAAATCATCAGCATGACCTTAGTAGAATTTAAACGATAATAAGTATGTATTAAGAAGTAGGGATTATAATCGCAAATAATGGGTTCTTAATTAGGCAATTAAAAATATGAAGTGACATTATATACAAGGTTACTGATATGAACACAATAATGAACACAGATGAGAGGACCGCCAATAGAGGGGGGTTTTCTTCCAAAATTTTTAATGTAAATTAATTATCTTAAGGTTGGATCTTCAGGGAACAAGAAAGGTCTTGCCCCACAGAAGTTGCTACTGGTAATTGTTCTTTCCCAGGAACTGTTCAAAATTCAAATATGAGAATTGGATTCATCATACATTCTTTTTTGTTTATGGAGTGCTCCTTTGAACCTATCTGACTCTCCACCACTCTGCTACTCTTCACAGTGGATATTTGACTGAGAGTGGCAACAGGAACTAAAGAGATATAACCCAGATGCAAAAGAAGATCCCATTCAGTGTCCATTTCAGAGAGTTATGCCAGGATAAGCAACGGCAATAGCAGGCTGAAAGCGTGTGACCTCCCCACCAACAATTAATCAAAGAGGACTGAGAAAATTACCCATTGTGGAATCTTCCATATAACCCTAAATCTACCCAACTCCAAAGTCTATCTTCTATGTGATAAGTCACAATCCAAAATTCCTTGGGGGTTCTCTGTTGGCTTTGAAAGAACATCCCAACTGGAAGTGAGTCAATCATGTGCTTCTTTGCCCCCTTGAAAGGGCATAGCCATAGGAAAGCAAATGCAAATTGTGCATGTCATAGAACTCCCAGAATGTCAAAGCAGCTTCTGTACTCTCTAGGGGCTCCCAGAGTCTAGGAAAGTTGTGGGCTAATAACTGTTGGGTAGATTTTCATAGTTTTATGTATCATGTGCTAGTTATTATTTAATTATAGTCTATGCTGAATAGAATCCACTATATGCACTATCCAAGAATATTTGTCAATTTCTATAGAGATCCAACCCCATTATGCCAAAATCATGTGACTAGAACACTTTAAAGTATATTAAGTTCAAGAAGGAGCTGCAGTTTCCTAATACATGGGGTTGCAAGAACTAGTTTCTGCAAGAACTAGTTCTGTAAATCCACAAATCCACATATTCCTTGACAGTGAATTGGTGCTGCCCCATAGAGAGAGGCAAAGCTAAAGGAGAAAAGATAGCTGACTTTCTGAGAAACATGGAGAATACTCCTACCTTGTGGGTCCAGTCAGTCAACTGCCAGAAGAAGTATCAGACTCCCCAAAACCCAAAGCTTCAAAACTTGAAGGATCAATGATTGGTTGTCATTGTTTACATGGCAGTTAACTAAGTCTAGTTAAGATTTTATTTTTTTTCAACTAGACATTCATCATCCATTTATTAAATTTTAGTGTTTGAGACATTAGGCATTATTGAATCTTGCTGTTTCATTTTACAGATAAAGAAATGGAACCTCAGAATGGTCAAATGGCTCTCTCAAGGTGGCATAGCTAGTTAGTGGCAGAGACAGGACTTCCAATTTCTAGGCCGGTACTCTTTCAACCACACAATTATGCCTGTCTTGTGATATTTTTTCAAAGGGTACAAATGTCAGAGATCAGGAGAAGGAAATAGGAATCATGTGACTTAATAGTCAAAAATGAGTTTCTACAGGCTTCACAAAAGAGTAGAGAATAAGTAAAGCACTGGATCTCCTCAGCCAATAATTCCACAATTCCATAATTATTCCTGTTTCAACTAACCTGCTTAACCACTCCTTTATTACTTTAATGAATGACAAAGTTCTTTACTCTACCCCAGGCTATAGTTCTGATAGTCCAGACTTTCTCTACCATGCCCCTACCAAGGTACTTCTCCTCTTTTCAATTTCTTTTTATGTGCTGTCTTCCCCAATTAAAATGTAAGCTCCTTGAGGACAGGGACTATTATTCTTTCTGCTGGTACATGTATTCCCAAAGTGGGCAGCTAAGTAGCACAGTGAATAGAGTGCCAGACCTGGAAGTCAAGAAGACTCCTCTTCCTGAGTTCAAATCCAGTCTCAGACACTTACTAGCTGTGTGACCCTGGATAAGTTGCTTAACCCTGTTTGCCTCCATTTCCTCATCTGTAAAATGAGTTGGAGAAGAAAATGACAAACTACTCCAGTATCTTTGCCAAAAAAACCTCAAATGGGGTCATGAAGAGTTGAACATGATTGAAAAATGATTAAACAATAACAGCAACAAATAGTATTCCCAAAGCTAAGCGTAGTGCCTAACACCTTGTAAATGCCCAATGAATGTTTGTTGTTTGTTGATTTGACAACTCTTTTATTGACTAATGTCAGTAATATAAAAAAATTCAATAAATATGTATTAAGTACTTACAATTAAGTACTTATATAATTTACTTAGTTGAGATTTTGAAAGTCTCAGACTGGTTCAGAAAGTGTTGAAAATCTAGTATTAGACAATTTCTGTAGAGCAACAAGGCAAAGTCCCATGCCAGGTCAATAAGCAAAATTTCCAGGGGACAATAGGCTGTTTTTATTCTTTCTTTCTCCTCCTACATCTACAAAAATGCCTACACAAAACACTAGAAAAATGCTTAACTCCCCCTCCAATACAATCCAAAACTGGCTGCCAGCATAATTTTACCAAGAAGGAAACTTCCAATGCACAACACTCTCCAACAAGCCTTGATACAAGATGTAATAAGACACATTTCTTCCTTCTTGATATGACCCTATGGGAAAAGGGGGCAAGTGAAGGCTGTAAGCATTCAACCTCCAGGTGAGTCATTTGCAAAAATGTATGGTCACATTTCAACAATCAGCCTTCAGTCTCTCTACAAACCAACCAATACTTCCAATATCCCTAACCATTTATTCAGGACAAAAGTTTCTTCTGGCTTCAATGATTGAAAAAAAATGTCACCAAGTAAAGAAATCTCTGTTTGATTTTTCTCCTGCCTCTAATTTCTCTTCATTGCAATATAGCCACAAGACAGCCACCAAAGTGATTTCTCTAAAGTACAGATCTAATCACATCACTTCCTCCACTCCTTAATAAACTCAAGTGGCTCCCTACTACCTCTAGTATTAAATTTGAACTACTCTGTTGGCACATACAGCTCTTCACAACCAGGCATTTTCCTACCTTCCCAACTTCTTACAACTCTACTATCCAGCCACACTGGCCTAGTTGCCTCTTAGGTCCTACTTGTTTCACACATAGTGTTCTACAACCACCTCTGTGTCTTTGTACTGACTTTCCCCATGACTGGTGTGCTTTCTCTCATCTCCTTCTCTTAGAATCCCTGGCCTCTGTAAAGACTCAGTTGAAATACCACCTTCTGCAGGAGGCTTTTCTTGGTTCCCCATTCACTCCCCAAATACATCTTGAAACAAACCATTCCACTTTTGTTAGGAAACTTTTCAAAACAAGTCTAAATCAATCTCTCTACAACTTCTACCCATTCTACCTAATCCTACTCTCTGGGGCTAGGAAGAACAAATATAACTTCTTTCCCATCCACATTATAACCTTTCAGATTTTATTAAATTTCATTTTTTTAAAGTAAGCCCAAAGTTCTAGCCTGTAGAGAACTTTTAAAATCCTAACATTGTCATTCTTTGAGTTAGATAACCCTCCTGACTTTTGATTAGCTGGAGATTTGATAAGCATTCTATTTAAATCATTGACAAAAATCAGAGAGAGAAACACACAGAGAGGGGAGATGAGAGAGAGAGAGACAGAGAGAGAGAGACAGAGACAGAGAGACAGACAGATGGATGGAAACAGAGACAGAGAGAAAGAGACAGAGACAAGAGAGTTCTAAGCACAGATCCCTGGGTCACACACCACTGGAGACTTCCTTCACAAGTGACATCAAACCTTGATTACTCTTTGTGTGGCCACTCAACCAATTCCAAATACATTTAGTAATGCTATGGTCTAAACTGCATCTCTTCATCTTTACCACAAGAATACCCAGAGAGATTTTTAACAAACACTTTGCCAAAATCTAAGTAAATTATATCTACAATAAATAATCTTAATCTGGTATGAATTCTTCCTGCTGTGTCTATGTGATCATGGCCTCCTTTTCTGGATATTCCTTACTGATACTGACACTTCTTAACATTATGGTCTAGAATTTTGCCTGAAATTAAAGTAAAATTCACTAACCTATAGCTTTAAATACCATTCTCTGCATTTTTTTCCAAAAACTCAGGACAACAGAGACTTAATTAGTTGGTTAATTTTGTGAAACTTTTTTTCTCTTTCTTTTATATTCTATTAAAGGGGCTGCCTCACCAAACAGAAAAGATGGAGAGAGAAATATTCAGAAATGGAAATTATGTAAAAAATATATACTGATTTTTAAAAATTAAGAAATTCAAGACATTTGCTTCTTTCTGATATTGGGATACTTCTCCCATTCTCTACAATCTTTCAAAGACCACTGACAATAGATCAGCAATCAAATCTGCCAGTTCTTTCAGAACCCAAGGAGGAAGGTCATCTGGATGAAGTAACTTGAATTCAGCATTCTTTTTCCATTTCCTTTTTTATCTTGGGTATCAATTTCCAACTAGTCATTTTTGTTCCGCTTTTGGTTCAAAGGTCATTTTTCTTGGCATAGAAAATAGAAGCAAACAGCTCTGCCCTCTCTATATCATCATTTATAAATAAGAGGATACAATTAGATCAACTCATAGTCAATTAATCAATAAGCATTAAGTACGTATATATCAAATGCTGTGGTAATCACAGTCATTTAATGAAACAGGATGATAAGAAAAATAGCAATAAACCTTTCTCTATCCATTAATCTGAGCCATGTTCTTCCACAACTAAAAAATTAGTTGAAACAATAATTTTAACAAGATATCTGGATATAAAGTAAATCTACAGAAATCATCAGCATTCATATATGTCACAA